AAATTGATAGTTGATTCATGAGAGTTAGGACTGAAGAAAACTGTATTTCTACTTTGTAAGTTCTGCAAAAGTTTTTGAAACCGGTCTTGTTTATCAGCTTGTAATTCTGGCATTTCAGCACAACAAAAATTGTTGAAGATTTGAGACTGACTCATTTGCTATCCATTGTTAGAAGAAAAAAAAATACTTTTCTGAATGACAAAGTGGTTTTGAATTAAAAAAGGAGCAATTGTCTTAAATTATTTAACTTCAGATAGATTTGTGGAGTCATTTACATATTAATGTATTTACTCTATATGACCCTTTCACTTATTTAACAGAATAATTCCCTATATAATTCTTCTATAGCGTTATTATTTCTAACAAAGAATGTCTTTGATCCATAGGGATTTCTGTAGTGATAGCCTGAATGCAAACATTCTGAAGAATTGCATTTACCTAACAACAAAAGCTATATGGTTTGTGAAACATGAATGAAAACTAATGCGTGTGCGAGCTGACTTGCTGAAGTTTCACTCGAGTCAGCGAAATGGAAGTTGAAGTTCATCTCAGCGTATTTTAGAAGCTCCTTTTCATTTAAAAACAATGATAGAACCTGTGGAAGTTTGTGGATGCATTTAACTCGTTTGAAAGTGATGAACGTGACAGTTCTATTCAAACAGTTGACGGTGCTTAACAATACACTGTACCTTTTTTCTTTTTTTTTTTTTTTTTTAATAAGCTGCTGCACAGACCTGAGAGGCCTTTTTTTCCTTTTGTATGGAAACTCTGTTGTTGTGGCTACTGACTGCTCAGCAGAATGCGTTGTTCAGGGAATATAGGATGTTCTGTGTCAGTTTTTTCTCCTTTTTTTTTTAATTTAAAAATATAAAATTACAGTATCCAGTAGTAATAGAGGTGCGATTAGTCTAAATATGTGCGTGACTCGGTGCATTCAGCCTACCAGCAGTGGGTAATGATTCTTGCTTAATTGAGACAGAATTAGTGGGGAAGTGTTTGGCTGGTGGAAAATGGGAAACTCAGCCTTGACTTGCTAATAAAGGAGTAGGCGCGTAAAGATTCAAAGAATAAATAAAGAGGAAATGCAGTAAGTTTGGTTTTTTTTAAACTCAGTACAGTATGTTTAAATACAGTGCTATATCTATATGCACACATATGTACCTTGTCCTAAAAATAGTCATTGTATTTTCTTTTTCTGTACTCTTGACTAATAAATAAATAGTGTGTGCAATCTGAATGATTCTTCCCGTCAGCCTTTGTTCAGATAGAACCGGAGGCCCTTTCTTCTAAGGAAGAGGCAAGGCAATTTGGTTTTACTTTGTAAAATTGGGTGAGTGAATGAAATGGTGTGCCTGAGTAAAAAGATTGTGTTGTATAAGTGTATTATGATTTATGGGGCAAATTGTGCAAAATATGCTGTATATTTATGTCATATTTCTATTAACAATATGGGAAAATATTTTCCAGAGGTGGCAACAACTTGCTAATTGTAGAATCACCAGGAATGGATTTCTTGGTGATTTTTTTTTTTTTTTAAAACTTGATGAAAGTAGTGTCTGTTCTTTTAGAGTCTGTGTGGCTCAGCAAAGAAAAATTTTAGATGGTTTCATTTGGAACGTAAATTAATCGTTTTAATTTTTCCTTTTAGGAAAGATGCAAACGCCGCATTGCTAAGTAACTTTGAGGTAAGTTTACCTGCGTCCTGGTTTTAAAGCAGCAGTTTAAAGCTGTAATCAGTCACTTTTACACTTTGGAAGCTGAAAATTGGCAGTGGCAATCAGCAAGACCTGCATGTGATTTCCACCCCCTCCATTTCATTTGTTACTAAGAAAATAGCTTTTTAAAGAAAATCTAGTTTTCTAGAAAATTACTTGTTTTGACTGGAAATGGGTGCTGTATTATTATTTGATCCGTCCCCAATCTATAAAAACAGATATAAATGTGTTTTTTCTAATAGACAAGGAGTGGATCTTTAGAATGTCAATAGCTTTAACTTCAGCCTTGTCGTATTTACACTGCTGCTGTGTGGTTAGTTTGTTGAACCCTCTTGTGTGTGCTGGTTTGTTATGTAGGATTTGATTCTCCACATCTGTAAACACTTGTGTATTTGGGCAAGTGCACTGGATTCACCATTGCTTTATATGACGTATGGTGCATCGGATCCCAAATCGGGAATGTTGACACGTCTGTAACTGGGCAGTAATGTCCAAAATATCTTTTTTGAGTTTTATCTTACGATAAGCCAATATACTGCCAAGTGTGTGATGAACTGATTGCTGAGTCTCTTTTAATATTGCAAAAAAATTTTCTCATAGAAAAATGAAAACATTTTTCACAGATGGCTGCTGCTGGAATCAATGTTTTGTATTTAACCTTGTGATGATGTCATCTGAGAACCTATAACTCATTAATGCATAGGTTTATTATAAAGCCAGTGCTACTGGAAAGGCAGTCTTACACCTCTGAATGCTTGACAGTATTCTTTTAAAGATCTTGAGGTGTTTCCAAAGCAGGTTAGGTTATAGTAAGCACAAGGCAGTTTGCTGATCTGAGATGTGTTACTCAGGATAAACACTCATAGAAGCCAGTGATGTACCTTGATCTGGTATCATGGGGAAGCTACACAGTGCCCTGTCATAACAAACAATGAATATTGGTATACAAATAACAAATTAAAAAATGTTATTTTCAAGTGTAGATAAGTTCTGAATCATTTTCCTCTCTCTTGAGTAAAGGTATTTTTTTTTTTAGTGAGGGAGAGAGAAAAGTAGTGTTCTTGTTGGTTTAACTTCAGCCAGGTAATGTAAAGATTTCAGTGTTTGTTTATGAATGTAATTTTTTGGGGCAGTTTTAATAAGCCAAGTGCTTTGTTTATATTGTTTTATTGCTGAAGCTGGAAAGATGCACAGCTGTTTCATCCTATTCTGAAATAAATCTTGAAACGCTTTATCTTGAGCTGCAGCTGTCTGCATACAGCAGAGCAACCATCTGGTGGCTGTTAGGAGAGCTTTAATGAGGTACTTGGAAAGAACTGTCTTGCCTAAAAAATTGATGATGTTATGTCAGCCAAACTAGTATGAAGTGTCTGTTTGTTAAAAACACATACTATTGCAGTACAGAAAACAGCAAGTATTTCAGAGATTATTTATTGCAAAATCATCTTTGCTTCCTTCTTCTTCGTTTGCTGGGATATTTGTTGGACTCTAGGTATTACGGCCTGCTGTGGCTCAAATAGTGGTGTCAGTGACATCATATAAAATCTATAGGTGTCCTAAAGGTATGGTCTAGAATAGGGAGAATTGCAGAATCTGTTCTTCATGCTCTTCAGTCAGAACTTTCTTCAGCTGAGTCTTTTTGTTGGTGAATGTACCGTGTGTGTTGAAGATGAGCAAAAGGAAGTGGAAAACGAAGTTACTGATGAGAGTGCTTATTTCTTATTTCCCTTTCACAGCAGGGATTTGCAGTGTCTGCAGCTATAGGCTTTTGGGGCATGGCTTTTCACTGCTCTTCAGAGTACTGATTCCCCTAAAACTACCGCTCTGTTTCTGTTTGCTCCGCTTTTCAGTTGCAGTTTGACTGGCATAGCTAGCATTCTCTTTATCAAGGCAATATTTTGCCCAGAAAGTGGTGTCTGAAAGGAGTATTCAGGACTGACATGTTGTATGTCCTATGCCTACGTTTATTCTGTGAGTTTGGAGTTATCATTTTGTATCTCATTGTCACTGGCTATATTTTCTTCAAATATTTATTAGTTAAAAGTTCATAGCTTCAGTTTTGGCTTTCAGGTGGTTGATACACAAAGGTGTTCCTTTTTCATAGAAGATGCGGTATAAAATAATTACAGGATTTGTAGCTGGTAATGTTCTTACTTCTCACTATCTAGAAACGTTTGTATTTTATTTCTGTGGACTTGTCAGTTTATAATGCCATTGGATCTGGATCTTGAATGAAGCTAGTTAAAAATCAGGGGATAAACTGTAAGAAGTGGTCTGTTACTTTGCTGTGGTTATTGGCTCTGGATATACGTAAAGCCTGAAGCAAAACATCTGAAGAAATTTCAACCTAATGTGTTTTAATAGGGGAATAAAAAAGTAATTGTAATGCTGTCTCAACATTTTGCTGCGTATCTAGCTATGATGAATAAAGATGTGTTGCAACAGATTTGACAAAGCACAGTTGCAAAAATCAAAACGTCTTTTGCCTTCAGACTTACCCTCTGAATCTCGCTCCTACATTAATATTCACTGCATCATAAATGTGAAGACAACTTTTATTACATTCTTTTCAGCGATGTCTGCCTGTATTACATTGTTGTGATGAAATAGGGAGCTAATTGAATCTTTGTGGCTTCACATACTTTAACACCACGCTGGTCACTGTAACATTTACTATTGTGAGTAACTCCACTGGAATTTACAATAGGATCACTGATCTCAGGAGCATCTATAGGTCAAGCCTTTATTTAGTTGCTTCCTGGCAGCGTGACAGTTGTACAGTTTACTTTTTTTTTTGCAGGTAATGTAAAATTGCATCTCTGTGAGACAGAATATATATCCATTTTAATATAGGTACTTCTGTCATAACAAATCCATTAGGGCCATAAACTTGTGTGACATTTTGCTTCAAGCATCACCCATATTTAAATGGGAGCTCTGTGCCAGTACAGCAGGGTATGATCCAACTCTGTTCAGGACATGAGATAAGATAAACAAGTAGATTCATCCTGGCAGCTTCTCCCTTGGGGCTCTTGGATAACATTTAACAAGTGCTGAAAATCTGTTTAAAATAGTCACAACTTTTAAAAACCTATTTACATACCTATTCATCATTCTGGTGCCAAAACATTTTTCACTTTAATTGTTGGTGCATCCACCAAAGAAGCCACACTTTTTTTGTTGTTTGGTTGTAGGATTTTGCGTTGTTCATTTATGTTTTCCCGCTGTAATATTTTAGGTAAAATACTCTCAAATGGTCTAAAACACTTTATTTGTTTACCCCAGGTGTTCCAGTTACTTACTGATCTTAAGCAGCAGCGCAAAGAGAGTGGAAAAAACAAGCAGAGCTCTGGTCAGCAGAATCTGAACACGATCATGTATGAAGTGAGTAGCACTGTGAAATTCCTTTGCAAATTAGCCCAAGCTGGAGTAATTCTTCACATCCTTAGGTCTGTGTATTAATAATTTTGTATCAAATTTCCCCTATTAAAAAACACGGTAAAATATTATTTGCCCCTTCTCTGTGGTCAGTTTATTTAGGTTGTAGGCTAATGTCAGGGCAGAGGCATGCAGCTGCTCTTATTAAAACCTATCACAAAAAGAATAAAAAAAACCCCTGTTTTTTAACTGTTTATTTTGATGGGAGGGACACTATTTCAAACACTCTATCCTTTTAAGATCCAGGGCAGAACTTGCTATCATCTGATGAGTTGATGATACCATGTAATCATCATTTCGAAGCTGAGGCACAGATCACATATGGTATTTTTTTATTAATGGAATTAAGCCAATAATTTCCAACTAAAATAGATTATTTTTTTTCCTGTCAAAAATACAACAAAATCACATGTACAGTTAGCAACATCAGTTGGATGCCAGATTGGTAATAAATGTTTAATCTATTGCTAGGAAGAACTTTTTAAACCATATAATACAAATATTAACATTTGGAATATCTCAAATTAGCAACTTCATAACAGACTTGCAGTATGACCTATTGAGTCTGTCAGAGAACTGCATGAGTAGCACCACGATTGGCAGCGAGTTGAAAGCAGTTTGCCTTGCTTGCATGAGTAATCCAGTTGAGCAGTAAAACTACTCATGTGAATAAGATTTGGCCTAGGCTTTGTTTTTGTTTTAGTTCTGGCTTTGTTTGAAAAGATACAGAGTTGTAATTCCTAAACCTTGTATTCAACAAAATAGGGGCTTACAAAAAATCTAATTTAAATCTTCATGGAGACTAACAGTTTCTTCCTGTACCTCTTTGAAACAGCTGAGAAAGATCCTGTAAGTGTATTTTGTCAGAATGCACCTTAAAGTTTTAATTGCCGTGTTATATTGCGACATTAAATACCTATAGAATGCTCATTTTTATGCATAGTATGAAGCTGGTGTAAACTCTAGGTATATTTTCTCTATATTTGACTGAAAGAAAACCAGAATTTGATCTTACAGGATTGACTTTGTTCATGCTGAGTATGTCTTTGTGAGCTCTGTGCAAGCTTGTATCCATTGGTACTAATATAATGATGAAGTACTAATATATAGATGAAGGTTGTTGAACTGGAGCTATGTTTTGCTGTATGTCTGGCATTTTAGTTGATTTGAAATTGCCAAAAAAAGACTAAACTGGAAAAGAAATTACTCCTTTTAAATAATTTTATTACCTGACAATACGATGATTTCATTTCAGTCATTATTGGTGAAAACAACTTCATTTTATCTGAAGAGGTCAGACAGGGATTTCAGAAAGGAGGGTTATCTAACACCATATTGTGCTTTTAAATATATTTTGCAGTATTCCAATGAAACTAGTCCTTGACAATACCAGTGATTCATATTTCATCAACGCTCTATCTGTTAAGTAGGATGAATTCTGTTTTCCTTTACCTAGCATTTTTAAATGATAACAGATTTTAATGGAAATACACTAGAAATACATTTGTGTATTTTCTTATTTGCCATACTGATCTTGTAGTTCATTTTTTCCCAGCATCTCTTGTTTTCTTCTCTGCGAATACTGATTCAGCTTTTTTGGCTTCTGACTTTTCAGATATAAATATTCAGTTTAAAGATTTTCTGAGAAAGAAACTCCAAGTATTATATAGAATTTTATGGGATTTTATTATTATTATAGATAATCTGTGCATGTGATATCCTACCACACATGTGCCTCTGTATTTGCAATCCAGTTAGCGCATCAGGAGTCAGTTGTATTGATGCTTTTAAGCTTTATGTATAGCTATGCAGTATGAACAGATGAAGATTTTTTTCCTTAATTCAAAACAAGCATTGACAATACTCTTTTAAATCCTTCAGTTGCTGATGCACACAATGCAGACAATGCAAGGATTTCCTAAACTTTTCCATTGATGCCCATTATTTCCAACTCTTCATTTTGAGGTCTAATCCAAGCAACATGCAGGAAGTTCCTAAGCTACTTCCAGTGAAAAGACAGCTGCCAACTGGAATTTGTGTGGGGTTTTTTATGAGAAAATTTTTTTTTACCTGGGTCAAATTACATTATGTATTACCTGTCTGCTAGGTGTTGGTGTTGTTTTAAATAAAGCAAGCAGATGTAACATCTGCTGCAAAAGTTAGGTGAGGTTGGTAGGTGTTACATGTAAAAAATGGAGCAAAGATAAATTGTCTGAAGTCAGATAAACATTTCTAATAGAACAGTATTCTTGCAGATTTTCATAACAACCCACCTAACCTGCTTCTATGAACTTTGAGAAAGCATTGCCAAATATACGTATAAAGGATGAAAACAACCATAGGTTTGTGAGCTTAATGAGTTATTTATGGGTTGGCAGTGAGAGTATCCCTGGCAGTGAGCACATGAGAACTTGGCAGAAGGTTTTAAGGTTTTAAGGATGAATAGTATTAGACTTTTCTGAAGTGTTACTGCTTTTAAAAAAACAAAACCAACCCAAAACAACAAAAATAAACACTACAAAAAATACCCAAACCCCTTATCTTGGTACCTTTTTAAGCTAGCTTTGAATCTGTAAATGTTTGTTGGTTTTAAAAGGAAAAGTAAATCTGGGTGATACTATTCAGCGCAACTGTAAGTCTGTCTCGATCACAGTCTTAGCATCACCTGAGATTATTTCAAACCAAGAAAGCAAATGTCGTTCACAAACAGTGGGGGTTCTTTTAGTAGACAGAGCTAAAATTCGTTCCTTTCCTGTACTCTTCAACATCTGAGTTTGGGCTTCAGATCAGATAAATGGCTGTCCAAAGTCACAGAGGGAATAGTCAAAGCTGTAATTCTCACCTGTGCGAGGAATGAGCTGGCTGGGTCATGTCTTTATGGAATGAATTCACTGGGGCTTTCTGGGTAAGTGGTAATGTATTTTCCATTACGTAAAGTTGTAGTTACAGATTGCCTTTTTCTTACTCCCTCAGCAAATACCAGGATAGTCTTACTGAAGACAGAAAAATGTGAGTGATCTGTGTCATCTATGACAGCATTTCCCACTTTTTAAAAAAAAAAAAAAAAAAAAAAGAAGTAAAAAACCAAACCCCAAAATTCAATTTGAATTGACTTTTCCAATTTTTCTGAGTAGTACTGAGGAGACTTTTCAAAATCTGCTTGTTTCATACACAACTGGTAAAGGAAATATAACTGTGAAATAATGTATACTTTCTTTCTGTCTGTTGCAGACACTGAAGTACATTTCAAAAACACCCTGTAGATACCAGAGTCCTGAGACTGTGAGAGATTTCCTCATAGCAATGAAAGGCCACAAGCTAACCAAGTAAGTAGAGATGTGCCTTTGAACGGAAGTGTAAACTCATGGTAGTCTTGAAAAACCGATCCCCATGTACACAGTATGATAATCTGTCTCGTTTTGATTAACATATTTTAAGTATTTTCTGCCATTATTTAAATACTCATCCAAACATCTTTTCCTTCACTCGTTAACGCCCACATGGATGAGTATTTCCTTAAGTGGGCCAGTGTTTAGCACTGTATTTCTCAGACAGATTCTTGTCAGTATGTTGGTTTTTAGCATGGTTTCACATGGTCCAAGCACAAAGTAAAGTTCATAAAATGTTTTCTGAGGAAGAAGTTGTAACATGTAAATGGATTTTGAACACAGGAAGAGAACTGCAAAAACACACCAACCCAGCCTCGGTTTATTATCAGTCTTATTTTTATGAACTTCCTTAAGCAAAAAGCTACAGATCATCTCTTGGGGTAATGCTCTCTAATTGGCATTTAGCAAACTAAGATGTTCATCTTCTCTTTTTGTACTGTTTGCCCACTGCTGTTTATGTCCACTAGGATTTCTGAGATGTACGTTTCGGTTACATAAAGATTGTGTCAATCAACCTCCCCCCCAGCTCCCAGCCCCACAGTTTCTAGTAGAGCTGAACATACAGTTCATTCTTCCTATTTTGGGAAGTCCTGCATAGAAAATATTTCCTTCACAGTTACAAGAAGACTCAAAGGGCATTTTTCCTCTTTGTTAGTGGTGCGAATGCCTGTTCACAGTGCTTGAAATGCATGATACTCTCAAACCTCTCTCCAGAGTTGTGAGTGAAACCTGTGTAAGTAATCAGACCCAAAAGAAATTGAATCAATTGGCTACTTGCTTGGATAGCTTTAATCAGTCATCTGCTTTTTAAAGCAGAAAAACCAAAGATGTAATTGCTTCTAAAGACTCCCTCTTCACCACAAAGGAGTAGTTTATGCTGTATAGACGCTGACTAAGTTTTTCTTCCCTGCTGGAAGGACTCCTAAGGAGTTCATGCTCTGGAACGGAGGCTCTTGTGGTTGTGTCACAAAAAGAAATGCAAAGTGAGAGCATCTGGAAGGTGCAGTGCTACAAGGCAAGTTTTTACCCTGTCCAAAGCATAGTAAGTTGAGTAGAAAGCAGATTGTCAGCTATTTTATTGACTTTCAGTGCCCCCTCTCTACAATTACACTCACATCCAGTATATCAGCAGCTCTGATAGCAGTATTGCTGTCCTTGCAGACACAGGGGTGCTAGTACTTGGAAGCTTTGTCATGGGTATTGTAACTTTGCTTGTAGTGCTTTCTTTTGTAGAGCTAAAGTTGCCAGGTCAGTATGTCAGTGTTTAGTCCTCCCGTAGCTCATTTTATATAGCAGGATGCTAATTTATGTAGTGGGCAAGAATACCCAAATTATTTTCTGACATTGAGGTATTCAAGTATGGAGAAAATACTCTCTTTACTGTAAAGAGCTGGTGGCATGGAAATGAAAGAGGCTATCTTAAAATTGGCAACAAACTATTTCTTCAAGTAAGTAGCGAGCATCCTCAATTTTGGGTACTGTGAAAGAGTTGGTCTCTTTGATGTGAAATAAGCTTGTTCAGTGTGTGCTGGGCAGCAGTTAGGAAAGCACCAGGAGAATGCTGTATCACAGCAAAAAGCCAGGGGGAGTTAAAAAGTCAGAATAGGATTTTTTGGAAGTAGCTGAATGAGTTAGGTATAAGAGTCCCATTAAAAGTCAAGGGCTTTTTTTTTTGTTTGTTTTAAAGCTCATTTCTAAACTTCTTTCTGGTAAAATTTGACCAGGACTTCAGGGTTAACTCTTACAAAAAAGGCAGGGGAGCTTTGTTACCATGTTAGATACCTTGACCTCATCTGCTCCTCCATATGGTGTCTGAGAGAGTGATGTTGGGTCATAATGTAGAGAATTCTAGCTACAAAATGTCTCCCATACTGCCTATTTTGTAGAAGATATACCCAAATACTTGCCTTCCCAAGCATGCTTGTTCTTTGAACTTGAATACAGGACTGCTGCAAAGGTTGAAATAGTTACAAGCTTTAAATGAGCTTTTTAACTGTGTTATCTTCTTTTTATGGACACTTGGAAGTGCCTTTAGTTTTACATAAAATTTTCTTTGTCCTTTTTCTCTTAATCAGAGTCTGTTAGATAAGCAAGAGAATTACTCCCAAGTCGTTTCCTTCTGCATAATGGCAGAAGGACAAGAGTGAAGAGCCTTGCACTAGTTTAGGTTACAAATTTACCACGTTCATAGCGTATGAGACCTCAAGATGGGACTGTGATACCTTAGTTTCTTGAGCATCCTCTACAACTTTACTTGTAGTTAGTATCTTTGTCATGTGGTAAAGAACTTGCTGGCACTGCATTTGCCATGTATTTACAAAATAAGAAACAGAATTGTTTAGTGTGATCCTGGCACTTTTTCTTCTAATCTTTTCCATGCAGACACTTCAGGCTAGAAGTATCAGACCCCATCTGGCAGCCTCTTCTCACCAAAACCCAGAAGGCATATGGTGTGCAATTACTATATAATGCACTTTATGTTAAACCACTTAAAATAATAATGCCTCCAAGGAAATTTTGAAGTACCATTTGGTTCGTAACCAAGATCATTCTAACACTCCTCTGTTGTTAAATAAATTAAAAACTAAAGGCTTTAATAATTTCTGTTCTGTGGGATGGAGATAGTATTTGTTTAAAACGCTTCACTAGAGATTTTGTTCCAGTTAGCTGGTAGGGAGCTTTCCTCCCCTTTGAGAGGAAAGAACCTGCAATATTTGCTCTCCAGGACCTTGCTTGCATGATCTTGCTGTAATGACCTTTCCTCCCACAAAGAGTAATGAACTCCAGAGTCTGTCTTTGCTGCTTCCTTTCTGGGTAAGGCATTCAAAGATGTGTGCTCTCCCTTAATCTCTTCGCTGGTCATAAGCTGTCTCTGCTGGTAACAGTTTTCCGATGGTAGCTGATTTGCTTTAAGATACGAGTTAGTTGGTGTCTGTTCCCAGTGAGGGCACAGCAGCTTTTTCTTTTTTCTCGTTGCAAGAGGAATAGAGGTTCTGGCTAAAAGGCATCACTAGTCAGAAACACCCCCTCGTCTTAAACTGCTTCGTCTGTTTAAATTCCTTGTTATGACTCAGCCCCTCATCAAGGAGGAAACAATTAAGCAATGTGTTTGTGCTGTTAATTAGCCTCAGCAACTTCTTTTCTAATACAAGGACTTCAGGGCTTTGAATGTAGGAATATATTTGCAGCCATATCCAAAAACTTGATGGAGGTAGGTAGTGTGAGGAGCTGACTTTCCCTGCTCAGCATGTTGTTGCAGCATACAAGCACTAGGTTGTGCTAGTGTATGCGAGAATTTCAAGGTAGTTAAGAAAGATGATACCATCCAGAGAGGCACCAAGAATTGAGGCACATTAATTTAAAGAACAGAGCTTTTAATCAAATGAATTCTCATTTTTCCTGCCCTCCTCCTACAAACCTGCAATACTAACCATGCAGAATGCATGCTCATCAGGCTACACGTGATGTCCTAAAATGTTCTGGCTCCAGTTATGGAACTGATAGCATCATGCTGGCAAATGGTGCAGTTTCTGTAAAATCACCTCAAGTCTTTTCTTTCTGTTATTGCTGCTGTTTGCTACTCAAAATACTAGCTTAACAGACCAGCATATCTTTTCCGCTGATAGCCATCAAGTTTGTGATGGATTTTTCTCATTAGTGTTACAGGCAGAAAAAAAGTTTTTTTTTTTTTTCCTAAAAGGCAAGTTTTAAAAATAAATACTAACACATAAAACCAACTTAAACCTTTCAGAGTAATTTCAGATAGCTTGCGTTGCTAAATGGAGCAAACTGAAACCCATCTAAATGTGTATTTCACTGATACAGTCAGTAAAGTACAGTAAAGCACAGGGGTTTTTTCCTTGTCATCAGTTATTTTGGTAAAATTGAAACTGTAGAACTGAGATTTTTTTTTTTTTTAAATGAAAAGCTCTGAACTGACATCATAGCAGATTTTATTATTACCTTGTTGAGGCCTCAAGCTTTGGCTAACGCTACAGCACAGTAAGCCATGTTGTACTTGGAAATAAGGTATGCCACTAGCATCTAATTTTCCAGTTTTAGTCCCTGGAATGGCTTCATATTTTGTAAGGTAGTGCGAATGGCATTGAATGAAAAGAACATTTATTAAGTTTGCGTTAATTGCGGTTAAATGAAAATTGGCTCAACTTGTGCTTCTTCCTGTTGCTGATAGCCTATCTTAGATCTAATTTTGGAATAATCAAATTTCGAATCACTGAATACCATTGTAATTTTAAAAATTAGACAAAAACATTGCCCTTTTTGTCTTTAAATCAACACATTCAAGGAAGTACTGAGCTGAAAAGCAGTAGTACTTTTAGAAAGTATTTTCCCTTGTTACTGCCAAAACCTACAACAAGTATAAACCTCTACAATATTAAAGGCTGGATGATTTACTTTGTAATTTTTGTCTCCTCCAGAGCTTTCAAAGTGAATATTCAACACCAAAGTCAGGATGGTGCTAATTTAACAATAGCATCATTTAATAGTCTTTTAAAAGACCATTGTGTTTCCCACTGAATTATTTGAAAATATATCTTTGATCTGTAGCAGTGTTGCTCAATTTATTGCATTCAGATACCATTAGCAGCCCTCAGATTTCATCCTGCACAAATGTACTGACATTGAAGTACAGTGGTAACCCCTGTGGAGAATACAGCCCAGTATGTTTGCCCAGACCACGCGCAGACTGGTACTGTGACTTCCAGACCGCAGCTTGGGACTGCTCATCCGTAAGCCAGATCCTGTGACCTTGATTCAGACAACATTTTATGTGAGTTGCCACGGTTGACTCAAGACCATAGGATTTGACTCTTAACTGCTTTCAGCTAATAATAAAATACATGGTTTTGTATACTGCTGTTACTTTATGGTTTTCCTAGCAACTAAAAAAAATACATTCCTGAGGATAAATTTGC